TAAATCCCAGAATCAGGAATAGTTGGAAAGCTCTGGGTTAACTGGGTCCCTGCTTGGAAGTCTCTTAGCTTTCTGTTGGGAGTATGGGGCGATTTTTTTTAAGAACTCTGGCCTGAAATTGTGAGTCCGCAGGAGGCTCCTTGTTTTCCCACCTGTAGCATGGTGAGGGTCGGGAGAGCCGGCAGAGACCAGCAGAGCTCGGAAACGCTGGCAAAATGCAGGCCAGGTCCTAGCGCGGGGAGCTGCGCTCGCTGCAGGAGGGCTGCCTGCCCCTGCAGACCCGAGTGCACGGTTAGCTGCCGTATCTTTTTTGTTCAGTGTTGCATATATTCCTTGCCTTGCAATAAGGCAAAATGTAAATGAAGCGAACAGTTTAATATTTTGCTGAAATAAAGTGTTCACTATTTAAAGGGATGTGTTTAAACCCCTTGGTCTCCAGCATTGATACAACTCAGGGTGAAAATAAAATAGTTGCTGTCCTGTAGTACCCAGATCGAGTAAACAAGGCTTGAGCACTTGTGCTATAGCATTGCTGCCTATGTAAATTCAAATGAAAGTAGAAGAGAAGTTCTCCAAAATCCTCATGTTCAGACAGAGGATGTTGCTTGTGTGTAAGACAGGGAGGCAGAACATAGCTTGGAGTCTTACTGTCTCTAGTGCTGTTCTTATGTCAGATTTAGAAAATTAGGAAACAATTTTAACTTCCTGAGAGATTGGCAGAGATTAGAGGATGTTTAGTTTGAAGGTATTCATGGAATTTGTATCGTGTCCACTTATGCTTTGTGATATGATTAAGGGATCTTTTACTAAAAAAAGACTTTCTGCAGTAGCTCTCATAGCTTGATATCCTTGTCTGTTTTCCGGTTAGAAAAGGCAATATTTAATCACCTTATAAATAAATAAATAAATAAATAAATAAGCTGCTGCAGGAATCTAGGTTGAAATCTTCAAGGACTGTAGGCCCTATTGGAATACAAAGGATGATTTGGATCTAGAAATGATTGGTCAAAGATCTTGAAATCAAATGAATCGTTTTGCCAAATAAGGAAACTTGGCACATTCTACTGTGTATTTTAAGATAGCACAAGTATAGTGTGCTACTACTTTATTGGCAATATGTTGGCAGAATGCCTTCCTCAAGGAAGCACTGAATCCTGCTTTATAGAGCCATCCAAGGAAGTGAAAGGAGTGAGTTACATAGATGTTTCCTTTAATAAATTGTGAAATATGAATATTTATATTTTATAATATATTTATAGCATAAAGTAGTAGAATATTTAAAACATCTTGGGTGCACATGAAGGTGCACAAGATGAGCGGTGCAGGTTTTAGTTTTACAGATAGGTGCTAGGGAAACCTGAGTTGAAGCCGCTTTACAATCTGTGTGAGGCAATTCTTGCCTCATGCTTTGCGAATTTGTGTGCAGGAAGGAAGGAACCCCCTGGTTTGCAGCCTCGTGCCCTCCAACTTGCCAGTGCACTGAGCTTTTAATACTGTGTTGAGCTGAGCTTGCCGTGATGCTGGATAGCAGAGTGCTGGGGGGACTCGACATAGTAAATGCTACCAAATGAGTCCTAGGTCTTTTTCCTTCGGGTGCAAAATGAACAGCTTCTAACGTCCGGTAGAAATGAGTTATGAGGAGAAAATTCTGCAGAGAATGAATTATGGTTACGAGCTCATGTCAACCATAGAAATAAAATGGAAGGAGGAAATTCTTTATCTTCCTAAGATCCCATACAGTTATTTGAAATATCCAGCAAATCGAGTTACTTCATCAAATATTCATCAGTCTGGGTTACTGAAATGCCACGTTTTTATTTCTTAAGCAACAAAAACAGTTGATGCAGTGTTCCTTAATGCTAAGCTACAGTAACAATTAAGAATGCAAAATTGTGTTGCTAGGGAATGATAGGACTGATTATAAACTTTCAGGACGCTGTATTTCTTCTACCAAAGGGAGCTGCTGTAATGGCTCTATTCAAGCCCCAGCCAAGCAACCCTATGACATGGGATTTGTCTCCTGACTACATAAATCTAAGATCTAAAATGTATTGCATGCTGGTGGAAAGATGCACTTGATTTGAACTGAAGTACAAGAATATGAAGTTTAATGAAATACAAGATTCTTTTCTTAACTATTTGTGTAAACTCAGAGTGTTAAGTATCTTTTAAAACACAGTGACAAGTTAATAACTATGTATGTAGTTGTCACATGCAGTAGTTACTCTAAACAGTTGTTTTCTCAAGCATAACAGAGGGATTGATCTGTCTAATTGAGGATTAACTACCTTGCATCCAAAAACAAGGAGTAATATTTAAACAGGTCTGTTCTCTCATCTAGAAGAGAAAGACTGTATGTCTACCTTAGGTTGTCATTAATTACAGCTATCTGTGTAAAGAGTATGCTGTGTAAATCTCAACTTTCTCTGGGAAAAAAACAAAGGAATCTTGAAAAATCTAGGTTAAACCATGAGTCATCCTTTAGAATGTATTGCTTTATTGTATGCCAGGGACCGTAGCATCTCCAAGTGATTGATTCTTGGTGATAAGTTGGAAGCTTCTGCAAGTGCTTGTGTACTTGGCGCTCCACTGGGATTGCATGTGTGTTTAGGAATCAGTGATTTCTCAGACAGCAGGGTTGGCACAACAGGAAGGTCCTCACTTTTATTTAGTAACCCTCTTGTGCATATATTGTACTGTATTAGTAAATGTTAAGGTCAGTTTTCTGTGAAATGTTAGGGTAGCATCCTGTTCTATGTTAGCATAACTTCCAGAAGCCAAATCATTCACTTGTTTGTATGGATAATCTGGTTCTTGGTGAATGGGGAATTTCTGGGTGAATGATAACTTTAAAAAATTGACAGCACTTCAGAACTTTGAATCCAGATAGTAAAGACCGGGAATATTTTTCGGATTTATTTTTCTTTTCCCTTGGTTTTCTGCCCTTCTGCCATCTCCAATGCAACTGTCTGTCACCAGCAGTTCCCACTTCCCTGGCTAGTGTATGGTTTAGTCGTGGTGCGTACGCTTTTGTCTGTGAGTAACATTGCTCACGTGAGTAATTCTGCTGCCAGTATTCACTGGAGCATAGTTACCCAGGTGCACCAAGACTTGCAGGGTTGTGGACCTCAATTAGGAGTTCTCTGGGTTTGGAAGTTTGCCCGTTTCGTGTCACCTGTGGTGGAGATGCTGCATCCGCAGCGTTACCTTGGAGTAACTGCTTGAAGGAGAGACACAAATGGGCTTTCGTTTCTGAAGAGCAGGTAGTTAAACGGTGCTGGCAAAGCAGCAGAACGTTTAAACTGTCTTCATTATGCTCCTGGTTTGCAGGACCGGCCAATTTCCTTTCTCTTGAGCTCTCTTTAAAGAAAAATGTGTGCAGGGCGGTATAAATGATGAATCTGGTCTTAAATGGGTACATAAAAGATGACGGGAAGTCTAATGACAAGGTTGAAACAAGAACAAAAGGTCAGAGGAAGAGGTTAGGCACTTGTATCGCTGAAGAAGCTGGGAGAGGCTACTGGAAGAATAGGCCTTATATCATGTCACATGGATAAATCTTATCCCAACTTGTAAAGCTGGGAAAGGAGAATATTCGTTCCCTCAGAAATAGCCCTGTAGAGTGTTTGTCAGTCAGATGTAGATTTGAAGCTTCCTCTCTTGAAAAGGTGATGCCTTCAATAAACATGTCAAAGGGTTCATGGTCTTGTCAGCTGTTGCCTGTGGCATTAAGCAGGCAGTTTTTAGAAAAAAGGCTCTATGTTGTCTCATGCGATATCTAAAAACATATTTTTATGTCTCTTTCTCACATTTGGAGAACAGCTGCAACCAAGTGGTGGTAGAAGTTTCTAGTCAAGTGATATCTCAAAATTTTAATTAAATTAGCTACATGTTCAGCAAAGTTGGGGGAAAGTTAGGTTTTTGTTTGTTAGTCCACAGCAGAGACCAGGATAAAGCTGTTTTCCTAGCAGGTAACACTAGGCATATTGCGGATGCTCCAAGCTCATGGATGCCATCTTCAAAAGCCTCCCAACACCCACTTTAATTGGATCCTATAGGTTGAGCAGTGCAGTTGGAGGTGTAATTTTCACCAGCACAACAAAATCTGGGTGCCTGTTTTGTTTTATTTAAACCAGTCCCTGTTTCAGTTTATGCTAATAATTTTACTTGCATTAATTGCATATACAGTAATTTTTGCTGGTAAGTAAAGCTAGGCTGTCTAAGCTGGTGCCAGTTTGTAGCTACGAGCCTCGAGCAATCCTGTATAAAAGTTGTGGAAAGTTCTGCAGGATCCCACATGTTCTGCAATCCTGCTAAGAGCTTAAAGCTTTTTGATCTTATACCACTCTAAGGAAACCCCAAATTAGTCATTTAGGTGACAGCATTTCTGAAAATTTGCTACAGGCATGAGCTCTATCACTTTGAAATCTGTGAGAAGGACGTTCTGTTCCTCTGGCAGCAAATATGGAACGATCTCTTAAAACTGCCGAATCCAGTCTTGGCACATGCTACAAAATCTCACGTATTGTTACCAAGATAAATTACTCTGTGCTTACACTTTGTTATAACATGCAAACAGAACTGAGTCATTCGGAAAAAGACCTCTGCTGCGGCCAGGTTTTTCCACATCCTCGCGCAAGGCCCCGCTGCGCGCGGGGGCGGGGACAGCTCGGGGACACGCCAGCCCCTCGCCGCGCTGCTTAGGGGGTGCTCGGGAAGCATCTGTGCAACTCCAAGGGTTGTGAAGAACCTGTCCCTTTAGCCGCTTCTCTGTCTCCCAGCTGCTCCTAACAGCTTGTGCAAATTATGTCAGTGTTTTGCTGCAATGTGTCGTCTTAGACCTTGTTTTACCCCTTAGGCTCAGTGAAATGTAATATGTTTCTTAATGTAGTATTTTTATTGCAGCAGGTTCTTGCTTTGGGGTGTCTAAACATAAGTCAAAATGTTTGAAAAGTTCATGGAACACATGTATTAATTAAAGCTTTTCTCTTTACAGATTTTGCTGTGGTATATTTTGTCATTATGAGATGTCGTCTACCAGTGCTTCATTTGTGCAAATTAGATTTGATGACTTGCAGTTTTTTGAAAACTGCGGTGGAGGGAGTTTTGGCAGTGTCTATCGAGCCCGATGGATTTCTCAGGACAAGGAGGTGGCTGTAAAAAAGCTGCTCAAAATAGAAAAAGAGGTAAGAGCTAATTTGTGTGCTGTAAAAGGAAGGACATAAATAATTTTCTAATGTCTTCCATTCTCTGTTTAATTGATATGGCCTACCATGTTTTTTTGTTTAACTATGAAAATCTGTAACTGAATGTCGTTACAGTAAAGACATGCTGAGTGGCTCCAGCTCAGTGTTTCTGTTTAAAAAGGTTACTGCTTTCCTGTTTCTTTACCATCCTCTTCCTCCTGCTTTCTTGTGTAGCAGCTCCTCTCTGAAACGAATTCTGAGGAGGAGCCGTGGAGCTAGAAGTTTCTCTTTGAAACCATTGGGCATGTTGCTAAATAGGAGCATGAAATGTTCGCTCTCTCTGGCCACTTCCACTTTGCGTTGTTACATCCAGTCTATCGAGTCCTGTGGTTCATGTCCCTATGTTCATTATAGGCTTGGCATGTTTGATAGGTTGGGTTTCATCCTCGCCCGCTGCAGGAGCTTTTGCTCTGGGGTTCGAGCAGCTCAGAGTCAGTCAGGGTTCCACTTTCGCTCGGTGTCATCTTGCAGTGAGGTTTCAGGCCAACCATTCAACCAGTCGTCTTTTCTAGTGGCTTCCTGTGTGCCTGGAAAGATAGACGGGTTCTTCAGGAATGCTGTGGGAAAAGGCAGAATGACCATTTACTCAAACAGCCATAGGAGGTTTGTCTAGAAACGCTCTTGACCCTCAGCTTTGTAGAGTCCCAGCAGAGGAGCAGTGTCCTCACAGACCAGTCTGGGTGCTGATCACCACAGCAACTCAGCAGGGAGGACACCCTTGTGTAGCAATGGACTCCACGGTTTCTGGACCACTGCATCTTTTTGAAAGAATGTTGACAAACTGGAAGGGCAATAAAAGTACGTGTTCCTTTTGTACAATATCTTCAAAACATCCTAGGAATATAGGTACAAGCTGAAAGGCAGCAAAGAAAATCTAAGGATAATATGCTTAAAAATTACTCAGACACCAAGATTCTTTTGCTGCTGCAGCATCTGAGGGAGTATGATTGAGTGCATTATGCTTAGTGATGGGTGTTTAATTATGATTAAGCAAGTTGCTGTCTAAAATAATGTGGAAGGTTCTTGTGTTACCTATTGAGGGTGATGGAAGATGTGCACAATCGGGCCAGTGTCATTTTGAGCACTGAGGAAATTGATATTGGGCTGTTGGTGAAGACCTAGCTGGGTTGTTTTTGAAAGAATGTGGAAAAACTGGAGGGGCAGCACCGAGGATTTGCAGAACACACTTCAGGAGGAGACAGTGTGCTGTGCAAGGCAGCTGACAGAAGGGAGTATGTTTTTTCCTGTACAGAATTGTTAATTTTCAACCAGACTGGTCTTCATTTGCATTTTAAATTTAAGAAGGTGGGTCGTAGCGGGGAAGAGCTTGGTATGGGCACCTTCTCAAAGTTTTCTGGGGAGGCAGCATAGAGGCGCATGGTAATGTCTTTAGTAAGACTAGCAAGTTTTGCCAGAACTTGTCTATCAGATGAGACAAATATGAATCAAAATGTAATGAATAAAAATTAATATAAGCTTGTTTACAAACATTGCATTTTCATATAGGAAAATGCTGGTCTCGTTTGATCTAACATTAGAAAATTATTATAGAAATAATGTTTGGGATCTGAAGCCAGACAAATTAGAATGGGAAATAAAACACAAATTATAAGGAGTGAGAATGAGTAACGCTTGGAACAGACTACAGAGGGAAGGAGTGAAGATGGAGAATCTGTTCCATCTCTTCATATCTTCACCCTGAGATGAGACGTCTTCTTGGACCATTGAGTTGTTGAGCTCAACAGAGTAGCTTGCTGAAATATAATGGCTTGTGATTTATTGGAGGTCGGCCTAAATGGCCCAAAGGTCTTTTCTGACCTTAATGGCTGTAAGTCTGTTTACATATGCAGTATGCAGCATGTTTGTGGTTTATCTATAATGATGACTTGAAACGATGACTTGATGAAATATTTGTGACTTAACTGTCCATACAGTCACAGTGAGCCAATGACTTTTCTGATAGCAATAGAAAAATAACTTGCTGTAGCTATATATGCCTATGTTTAGTAGATATTTGGACAGTTTGCATTTCGTCCAGAAAACTGATTATTACCCCTTCAGATCTCTTTGAAAGGAAGTGTCCCTTTTAACTCCATGACTGATAATCTTTTGTTTCTGTTAACTGCTGCCAGTAACCCAAAACATTGATTACAGTGAAAACAACAGAGCTGGGAGAAGCTCCCTCATAGGAATTTCATGCTAGCAAAGGCACAAGCCAAGTCAATGATTGCAGCATCATTCTGCAAATGCATTTTATCTGGGATTCATTTTATTAAGCAAACAAAAATATCTTGATGGTTTGTTCTAGCCCAGGGAATATGTTCTGACATGCAAAATGGAACAAATCTTGTTCTGGCAAAGAGCAACATATCATACTGAAAGATATACTCAAATTTTTTTTGAAAGGGCAGCTTTCTTCAAGAAGTCTTCGAAGTGTGATAAATAGGAAGATCTCTGCAAGGCATTCGCTTTTATTGAGAGGCAGTAAAATGTGACTGTGCAGGAGGATGTGTGTGCTTATGTGAATGAGGCGCATTGAGAAGAAGAACTATTCTGCAAAGCCTTGATTAGAAGATCAGATGTGAAACTCTGGACAAGATTTTTACTGAATAAGCAAGTCATATGAGTGTGTCTTGAGTGATTAAGGAAGAGCAGGAGCAAAATTAAACTGCAGCTTTGTCACCTAGTCTAAGCATGTTCATAGTTTTTGGTTTTAAGTAAGGAACAAGGGAAGTTGTCTGATATTTTTGTGCATGATTTATAAGAATGATTGGATAGGCCCATAATTTGTCTACCACTGAAACAGATGGAAGAGATTGGCTCCAAAGGCCCTACTCTGGGAATTGCTGGCAGTTCTGCTGACCCCGCTCACTTGAGCAGGTAGCCCCAGAACGCAGTGCTGGAGCCTGCTGCTTTATGCCTTGCCCCGATACCTTTCTCACGGAGCAGCGTCTGTCTCCCTCGGTGGTTGGTACAAGTCTGAAGCCCATGTTATTGTCATTGCTCTTGCTCTTGAAGGATGGGCTTTTGATAGTTGTTTCTCAGTAACTATTGTCTGATCAAGAGTATGGTCCTTCTTGCAGTAAATTGCTGGTAGGTTTTTGCCTGAATTTTTAATTTCATTTTAATGTCAGTACTCTTTAGTAGCAGTCCTGTGATACACAGACTGTTTCTTGCTCTTGATGGACAGCAGCAATGGATCCAATCTGTTTACTTCAGCTCTTAAAACCACCATACCTTTGTATAGCATCATTTAGTTTATGCATTAAAGCTGTTCTCCGATTCCTTCCAAGCACTGCTGGTGGTTTGTGCAAACTGCAGTTCGGTGGCAGAGAAAAGCCAGTGAAATGTAAGCAGAATCTTATTGGAAAGTGCTTCTGATAAACGAACAACCATTTGTGAATAAAAAATGTTGAGTACTATTAACTATATATGCTTTGTGCAGTCATGTCTGCAGAATGTGTCTGAGTTTTTATGAGACAGGAATGGAACATGTTTCTGCTGGTTTTGGTGTTGCATTGGTGGACGTCTGGCTGCCGTGGAAATTAACTCGTACCGTCAGGTTTTCTTGCAAGCGCTATACATGCAGTAAGCTTTAGGGGATTGTTAAGCTGCTTTGTAAAACTTTTCATATGGAAAATAGTACGGCTTGCTCATGTTTTCCTTTTGTGACCTGCTTTGGGCAAGAAGTGCCAGAGCTGACACAGGTATTCGTGTCCGTAGCTTCCAAAGTGACGGAGTTAACCTGGTCACATGTGTGTGACTGGGCTTGCCTCACTCGTGTGTTAGTCTTAAACACGTGTGCGGGAATTTTGGACGTGGGTCACAGGAGTAAGGACCGGGAATAACTTTCAAGAGTAACGAGGGAAAAACAACACAGCAGAATAAAGCACAGCAAAGCAAACCGAAATTGATACTTAACCTAGGCAGGGCTAAAAATAGGTGATGTTCTCTTTGCTTGCAGTTTATAGCTATTAAGGGTGCGTAGGTGCCAGCCTTGAATGACTCTCTGTTCTGGGAACCGGCCATAATGAAGGGGAATTTTGTTGCTGTTTTATTAGATCTTTCTAGGAGCTTCTACTCTCTGCCCCCTTTCATTTCTGAATCAGCAAGTGTTTAAAGTGGTGCAGGATAATCTCTATCGAGAACCGTCTACGTGTGCTTGATTCTGACTTGGAGCAGAGGGAGGGACAAGCCCAGTGTTTCTCAACTTGTCATCCTTTGGTACATGCAGTTTGCTAGTGGATTGTGCAAGATGGTTGTGAGCATGTGGTATATAATGATATATAAGGTGTACAGATCTGAATATATGAATGTTGCAAAGAGAGCTGCACCTATATTTGAAAATTATAAAGAGTATTTTTTATAATCAATATCTGTAGACTTCATGATCTCATGAGAAACCTTCCAGAGCCATGTTTATTGTAAGAAATATTGTGGAATCTGGTTAACAGCTGTAAGGAAAAAAGCACTGTATTTATTATGCCAAAGATGTGTCTTAAAGTGTCTTTGGTTTAGTTTTTCAGTGAGGATATTTCAAGTTTTTAGTTTGTTTGCTTTTCATATTTTGATTTGAAAAAAAAAAAAAAAAAGGAGGGGGCACTTGGAGTGCTTCTTTAGGTGCTCACTGGAGGGAACTTGATACTATTGCCAGTCTGTGGCAGTTGTAAAAATGGGGCTGAATGCTCAGAGTGCTGTGCATGGTGTATCTCACAAAGCGAGCTGCCGTGGGTAGGACAGAGACTTCTACAACAAATCTCTGACTGGCCCTGCTTTTGAGGTTACCTTTCTCTTGGATAATTTCTCTTTCTTCAGAGTTTCCGTTTGTTTGAGGACTTTGTTTTGAAAATTGCTGTTATGTTTTTGGGTGATTTGAAAATCTCTGCATTAGGAGATGTCCTTAGCGGATGTACGGGGTATGACTGTGTGCTGAGTCTCAA